GAGGGGAGCACAGGGAGCTGAGCTGCTGTTGCCACAGCAACGCCTGCCCCCGGCTCCTGCATGTCTGCCTGGTGTCTCCCCCGGCACCCCACATGGGCTGACGGAACCAGAGCCTGGGACAGAGTGGACACCGCAGCCTAACGTCCCTCCCGCGGTCACACCGTGCTCCCCCCGCCCCCGGCCACCTCGGATCCCTCATCATATCCGGGAGCCAGGCTCTCCCCGAATCCACATTCGCTGGCCACGTCTTAGCGCCTCCTGTGAAAGAGCCCGTGGGACCTGCCTTGGGGTTGTGGGTTCAATGGGCCAACACATGCAGAGGCTGTGGGTACCCAGCGCCCAGCTGTGAGGCTGCCAGCTATGGCGACTGTGGTACAAGACTGTCATTATGTTGGCCGCCCTGCCCTGGCTCAAGCCACACCTCACCCTGTCCACCCACGACCCCTCTTCACACTGTCCACCTTCCTCACCACCCCCATCACGCCTCTCATATCCGGTCTCTCACCCAAGCCCCTTGGACCCCAGGCCAAAACCACTGGACCTGCTGATCAAGATCTCTCCCAGGGTCCTGACCCCTGGCCCAGGCCATGGGCACCTCACTGAGCCCAGGCTCCTCGGCCAGCTGCCGTGCCGGTGCCCTTGGGCTCAGGCCTCTTTCTCCCTCTGGTCACCTGGGTCCAGCCAGGCCCCTGCCACAGTCCCAACCCCTTGGCCGAGGACACCTACGTCCGGTGACCTGCCAAGACCTGCACCTTCCTCCGCAGCCCGGGACTCAGCTTTGCCTCCCCCGACAGAGCCCTGGGGACGGTGATGAGCCGTTGGGCCCCGGAGCCGTGCACAGAGGATGGAGGGAAGGCAGGGGCTGGGGCAGGAACCGGAGATCTCAGAGACCGGTGCCCGGGGAGTAGCTACGGACTGGAGGTGGCTGAGGGCAGGGAGAGGGGACAGGATGCCTCTGGGGAGCCATCGAGCTGAGGTCCCACACGGACTCCCAGGTCCCAGCCTTTCCACCTCCCTGGGGGCACCGGGGCCTCAGTGGGGGCTGCAGAGGAGGCGGGAGTTCAGACGCCACGTGGAGCGGACCCCCCGGGCCTGGCCACTCCACCTCAGCCGCTCCCGGTCCTGCCGTCCCCCGCCTGATGCCACGGCCACGGGGGCCGGAGCCTGGAGCTCAGGCCACAGGCGAGGATCCCACACTACAGCCAGGAACACGCCTGTTCACACAGGACCAGGAACACACGGGCACCCAAAGATCAAGGGCACGCAGCCCTGGACACACCGCACACTCAGAGGCGGGTGAGGGTGTCTCTGACCCTGTCCAGCCCTGGTCTGACTGGACTGCAGACTCTTCCTCCCACGGAGACCACCCCACTGGTGCACGTGCGTCCCAGGCTGCTGGTGGTCAGGGGCATCACCATGGCGATCGGGACACCCGCCCCCAGCAAGACCCCCTTGCCCGCCACTGACCGCAGGGTCCTCTGTGAGCCACCAGGATCTCTCGCCCGAGGACGCAGGCCGCGGACTCCAGCTCGCAGGCGCTGCCGTAGGTGACCCCGTCGCTGCCGCACACTGGGCTGTAGACCCTCGGACACGCGTGCTGGCACACACACTCGGCTTCCCCGTTCTTCACGGCACACACTGCCCCGAACAGGCACTGCACCCCGATACATGGGGACGGGGGCTGATCTGGGGAGGACACGGCACTCAGTGGCCCTGCCAGCCCCGCGCGGACGGACGCACAAGTTATTATTATTGCCATCATCAACATTGTTGGTTGTCATTCACCTCCTGGGTCTCACCTGTCATCTCAGAGGTGCCCGAATCTGAGTAGAGCCTGGAAATTTGTTTGCAGAAGCTGGCATGAACTCCAGCCAGGACCAGGGACCCCCACTGTCTAAACCGCCCTTCCTTAACAAGTGCCAGAGTCCCACAGCCCAGCCCACCCAGAGCCAGTGGCCAGATAGACTGGCTCCTTGTAGGGAAGTATTGAATAGGAGGTCAGGCCTCTCCAGATGCCACTTGGCTGGCCTAAGGCGGCTAGGCCTGGCTTCTGCAAGTTTAGAAAGGTGAGAAGGAAGCTCTCTGCACAAGAAGGCCTGGCAGCTCTTTAACGAATAGCTTTATTGCATGCCACACAGTGTTTAGAGCCCTTAACAAACCATGTTTAATTTTTACAACCCTAGGCAAAGAAAACCACTGCTATGCCAATTTACTTTTGAGTAGACTGAGGCACAGGAGATTGAGTCCAAGGCCATATTGTCAGCAAGCAGTAGAGCTTGGACTCAGTCTGTTGGCTACCTACCAGGTGGTTCTCCCATAGGCGGTCACTATGCTTGTATAAATTTAAATTTCTTTAAAAACCTCTTAAAACACTTCGCCGCTGCCAACTCGGGGAAATGAATCCAGACCCACAAGCCTGAGAGGCATGGGATGGGGTTGTTAATGAATAACACCAGAAAGAGTCCTGTCTCCTGGTCTGGAAAATGAGCGCCAGCCAGCCAGCCATCCATCCCAGCCTACCCGCTGGAGTCTGCAGCCACGTGGTGTGCCCTGTCTTGGGGCCTTCGTTCTGCAAGATGGAATTCTCAGCCCGGGCTGATAATAAGCAGGTATTGATTGCTGCCTTGGTCATTATCAAGATTTATTTAGTCAATATGGCCTCTCCGGTCAATAAATCGTGTCGTTGATAAAGAAGGAAGGGGATAGACTTGTAGAGTTTATTAAAAAAGTTTTTCAGATATTTTTTTTAAACAGCTGAGTCCAGACCCCCATTCCTTGTCCTTATCAGCCCCACTCTACAAATACATTTCATATTTAGCTCCATAAGCTCTTTCCTTTCAAGGAGGAACTTTCCCTTATTGCTCTGATTTCTGGAAACAAAGACTCAGAGGCAGGGCTAGGTCTGGAATGGCTCCTGGGACTCAGGTGTCTCCTCACTTTTTTGTTCTCACTCCCTGGCTTGTCCAACCCAGTTTGGCCAGGGTCTTTGCCCTGAACCTGGCATCTATTCAGCAAATCACAAATATTTACTAAGCATGTGCTATGGGCTCAGCACAGTACCTGGTGCTGGCTGTAGAGGAAACTGAGGCATCGGATGCGTGAAGTAGGTGAGACAAGCACTACCTTTCTTAAAAAGACTGGGCAGAGGACCCCTGCACAGCCACTTTTCTAGAATGTCTGGCTCACACTCTGTTTCCATATCTCATCTTCTATCCATACTCTAGCCAGTTCTTCCCCCAACCCCAAAGGAGATTCACACATTCTCTTTATTTTCCTCTGACCCGTGGCCACCATTTTTCTTCTTTCCATGCCCATGCTCCTCTGCTGACCTGTAAATATGTCAGTCCCTCTAATATTTATGTCTTCTCTCTCACCAGCACCCTGTGTGGTCTCATCTATGTTCACAGCACCAGTGCTTCCCAGTTCTCCCGACCTCTCGATTCAACAACCTTCTTGACATTTCTTGAATGTCTGTTTCAAAGATGTGTCCTACTCATGCTGGTAAAAACCCAACTCTCCTCACACCTGGTCTTGACCCAGGTCTACAGGACAGAAACCTGAGAGCTGCCATGACCACCTCTCTCTCCCCTGTGCTGATGGGGGTTTTACCGCCTAGAAACCTCACCCCCCCGCATACCTCTATCTCCACCATTGGTTCTTGTGCCCATGGCCCATTAGTTCTCCCTTGGGCTTTGGTCTTCCAGTGTGCGCCCTTGTACTGACTCTGGCCTCCTCCACTCTTTTTGACAAATGGCAACTAGTGAGAGAATTAAAAACCTGTTAAGAATTATTTCCAGCCGAAACCGGTTTGGTTCAGTGGATAGAGCGTCGGCCTGCGGACTGAAAGGTCCCAGGTTCGATTCCGGTCAAGGGCATGTACGTGGGTTGCGGGCACATCCCCAGTAGGAGATGTGCAGGAGGCAGCTGGTTGATGTTTCTCTCTCATCGATGTTTCT